ACACCAGGCTCAGTGTTTCTAAGTCTCAGGGGGCTTTGCACACCAGGGCTCTGCACACCGGGCTCAGTGGTTCTAAATCTCAGGCGGCAATGGGACAATGTGTAGAATTTTGAGGAAAAGGTCTGCCCTCCCCCCCAAATTTCATTCCAATCAAGTTCCTCCAGTGAAGGAAACATACCGGTGCTTTAGATCTTTGAGGGCTGGGAAAGGTACGCCCATGTACTCTCGCTGCGAAAGACCGTCCCCAGATGAGCTAATGCCTCAGAGGTGAGTGGAGTCATGTGCCTGGCAGTTCGTAGCATGCGGCATAAAAGGACTGGAAGCAGCTTCTGAAGGTGGTTTAACCGCAGAGTCAGGGAGGTAATGACACATCAGTCCCAAAACGACAAGTGCCAAATTTAGTCCTAAAGGCAAAGTTGTATCTGTCACGCGTTCATTCGGCAAATAGTAAACATTGCAGAGGACAGCGGGCAGGGGCCGGTCTTAGGTCAGTGGACAGAGTCCCTGCTGTGCGGGGCTGAGGTCAAACGGAGCAGGCGGACAACGAACGAGTAAGCGTAACACGTGTCTGGTGGTGTGACCGCTCTGGGAAACATAAGCCAGCTGAGGCAGCCGGGAAGGCCTCCCCGGGAGGGGGACACTCAGCCCCGACGGGAAGGAGGTGAAGGAAGGGGGATCCTGCAGGTTTGTGGAGAGGAGGGCTGCAGGCAGCAGGGAGGGCCTGTGCAAAGGCCCTGAGGCGAGGGGATGTTTGGAGTGCTCTGGACTGCTTGGAGGAGGTCTGGTTGCTGGCCGCTGACCAGACAGCCTTGTTGGGGGTCTGAGAGCTGGGAGGGGGGTGGAGGGGGCAGAGGGAAGGGACGATGTTTACCTGCAGTTTTGCTCTAAAGAGCGGCAGAGAGAAAACTAAGAAAAGAGCAAAAACCAATAGCGTGTCTTGGCCTGAAACATCAGGTTATGTTAAGATGCAGGAAGGGATTGGTGTGGAGGGAAGAGCATGGGATCCCTGTGGGCTCGTGGGGCCGGGGGCCGGGACTGCAGGACACAGAGCTCGGGAGGTGTGAGGGAAAGTGGGAGCCTCCGCCTCCCAGATACGGTGGGAGGAGAGAAGGTTTGGAAATTCTGCGTGTTATATGATTGCGATATTACAACACACACACACACACACACACACACACACAGTTTTTACAGGAGGAAATGTTTGAAGTTGTCACTTCTCTGTACATGGTCTGTGGTTGGAATGTTCTTTTTGAGTACTTTTGTACACAAGAAATGTTTCTTAACTGCTTCGGTAAGCAGCATATATATATATTAAATTTCCTTTTAAGAAATCCTTCTCTGGGTGCCTGGGAGGCTCAGTCAGTTGAGCATCTGACTCTTGATTTCGGCTCAGGTCATGATCTCGAGGTTCGTCGGTTTGAGCCCTGCATTGGGCTGCATGCTGACAGCACAGAGCCTGCTTGGGAATCTCTCTCTCCCCCCCTCTTTCTGGCCCTCCCCTGCTCTCTCTGTCCCTCTCAAAATAAATAAACACACTTAAAAAATAAAAGAAATTTAACAAGCCTTTTTACATCCTTATGCAAAAGAGTGAGGCTGGACCCCTACCTCACACCGTATCCAAACATTCGCTCAACGTGGATCAAAGACCTAAACGTAACAATAAGACAATAAAACTCTTGGGAGAAAAATTAGAGAAAAGCTTCATGACGTTGAATTTGGTGACTGTTTCTTGGATAGGACACCAAGGGCACAGGCCTCTGTCAAAACGAAACCCCTTGTATGTCAAGGACATAATCGGTCAACAGAGGGAACAGGCGACCGACACATGCACCTGCTGGGGGCACATCTGACGAGGGGCGAGTGTCCAGAGTGCACAGGGGAGGTGACCACGCTCTGGAGATGCTGGTGGTTGCGCGTTATGAATGCACTTAATGCTGCCAAACTGTATACCTAAAAATGGTTCAAAGGTACATTTTATCTTAAATATATTTCACTACAATTAAAAAGACATCACAGCTCCTTTAACAGGACGGTGCTCTAGCCAAGGTCAGCCTCGGCCATCCCATGCGACCCCTTCTCGGTCCCCACCTCAGGCCTGTGCCCACACTGTCCTTCTGCACGGCCGCCTTCCTTCCACCTGCCCCTGTCCCTTAAGGCCCGGCTCAAGGTCCTGTCCTCCACCCACACGGTTGTACTCGGGACCCCAGGCAGGGAAACACCCATTCTGGGGTCACCGGGCAGGCTAGTGCCCAGGGTAGGTCTGATGCCAGTGTTTCTCACCCACGCCCAGCCTCCCCAGCCCTCCCTGGGCACCTGCTCCCGGGCACGTAGCTGTGTCCTGGGTGGTGTTGCACCGGGAGGGTCTCAACCGTGCCAGGTGCCCAGAGCCTTGTTCTGTGTTCACTGCGGCCACGGAGTCCACTGGAAGGAGGGTGTTATAAGGCCACGTTTCCGTGAACGCGGCCCCCTGGGGCTGCTCTCCAGCAAAGCTGCCCTTTGCAGCCCGGTGACAAGCAGAAGTGATTCAGGGTGTCCCCGTGCGAGGACAGCCGCGTGGTCTCTCGTACCAAACCGAGTGAGGCTTCAGGGCAAGGTCCCTGCCCGCTCACCCCAGCCCTAGGCTCGCTCTTTCAGGGTGGGGCGGGGAGAGCCAGATGCACAGACAGGGACAGACTCCCCTGCAGAGAGAGCTGCTCGCCGCCGGGCTCCAGGGCTCCCAGGACCTCTCCTGAGGAAGAAGGCTTCACATAGCGCTTAGCTGTGGGTGTTTCTCCCCACGGCCCTTTCAGTCCGCCGAGCGCTGGGATCACCTCGGAGGCCACACGGCCGTTGCTCAAAGAAGTGTGCCACACGGGGCACGAAAGCTTCATGCTTCGTGAAGAGGGTGTCCCCGGGGTGAAAGAGACGACAATATACACGGAAGGGCCTTATGATGCCTTTTTGTAAAAATCAGAAAGGGTATGTGCCTACTCGTCCCTCCTATCCGGGTCTGGAAGCAGATTCTCCAAACTGTGCCTCTCGGAGGCGGGACTCGGGCTGATTTTTCCTTTAATGACTGCCTTTCTCTACACAGACACGTACTGAGGGTACGACGGTCGAGAGTTACTTTGGAGCCGTGTTCGTGTGCGTGCACACGTGTGTGCGGGTGTGCGCGTGTGCCATGTAGGCATGGATGTGCACGCACACACCTGTGTGCACATCGTGTGAGTTCGAGCGGTGTGGGCAGGTGTTGTGGGAACGTTGCTCCGTCTGGGTGCGTGTCAGTGTTTATAGGCCGGTCACTGTCTTCTCCAGCAGACAGGCCTGGTCCCCAGGGCCATTCCCAGGGCCAGGAGGAGGGTTCTTCCCAGACTTGCGGTCCTGGGGTTGTTTCCGGAGGGGGGAGGGGGGCTGGCCGCCTCCAGCTGGTGGCCGGCGGGTGTCTGGGATGCTCAGAGCTCAGGACTGACCTCCGGCGCCCGGAAGGCGGAAGGTCAGGTCCACCAACAACCTCAGGGGAAAACACTCACTTTCCCATCTGTCACCGCAGAGGAGCAGAGCTTGGCCGGGCCGGGAAGCAGCCGCCTCCATTGTACAGATGTGGAAACTGAGGCCCAGGGAGAGCATGAAACTTGCCCAAATCACGGAGCTGGTGAGCGGCCGCGGGGCACGGACTCCTGGGCTCAGAGCTTTGCCACCACCCCAGGCTCCAGGTGGACGTGATTTGGGGGGACACTATTCAACCCGTTCCCTGTCCTCAGGCTCTTTCCAGGCTCCCGAGCCAGATTTTCAGCCTGTAGGCAAATAGCACTTGCTGTTAATTTCTCGACACCCCCCCCCATTCCCGGTGCCGCTTCTGTCCCCCAGCCGCAAGGCCCGCGGCCCTCATGAACGTGAAAGAAATGAGCCGTTAGTGACTAAGCAAAGTGTCAAAACAGACACAGGTGATGGGGGCGGGTCCTCCCCTCACCCCTCCCAAAGGAAAGGAAACCCAGCTCTCAGAATCCAGACCCCAGACCCAGAACAAAGGAGCCCTCGGGGGGGAGACAGGATCACACACACCGTGGAGGCCCTGAGCCGCCGGCTTCCCCGGAGGAAACCGCCAGCTTCCGCCTGGGCTCCTGCCTCCCACAGGGCCAGCCGCGCTCACACGGACCAACCTTCCCCGGGACCCACCACTGCCAGGAAGCCGGTCTCCGGTCTCCTTCCCAGGCTCCAGGACAGGCTTTCCCCTGTCCCTCCCTCGGGGGGACTCGGGCGGCTGGTATGGAGGAGACCGGCGCCCCCTGCCCGCCTCCGTCTGTGTTTGGTGAGGGGCCCACAGCCAGGGGTCTATCTGACATTACACCCACAGCCCCACCTCCCTCACTGCCCTCTATGGGGCAATGGAGGGGGGGCGAATGGCCCTGGACAGGTGGGAGCGGCAGGAAGACGACCCCCCCCAGAAATGTCCACGTCCTAACCTTGGATCGTGTGAACGTGACCTCATACGGCAAAACAAGGAGTTTGGAGATGAGTTTACGTGAAGGATATGAAGAGGGGGGTTATCCCGGATTAGCTGGTGGGTCCGACCTGGGTTCGCAAGCATCCTTCTCGGGGGTGGGGGGAGCAGAGTGTGAGCGCACACAGGGGGCGGGGGGGGTGATGGGGGAGGTTTCCAGGATGCACCCTGGAAGGTTCCAGAGACACAGCCACCGGCCCAGCGGTGCGGCAGCCCAGCCCCCGAAGCCGGAAAGGGCAGGAAGCCGTTGTCCCCAGGGCCCCCGGAGGGAGGAGCCCCATCCGACTCCCCCATTTCAGAGTCTGCCCCCAGACGGTGAGAGGGTAATTTCTGTCGTTTTAAGCCCCCCCCCCCCCGCATGTGTTACAGCCGCCACAGGAAGCTAACGCACTCTTACCCTTGAACAAATGAATATGAAGTTAAAAAAAATCTTGAAATACTGACTCACAGTCCAGACCCCTACGTCCACCTGCCGCGTTTCCCTCACCCCTGCCCCTTCCCCCAAAGGACCCACGCAGCCCACGGAAGAGAGGGACGTGCCGGGACCAAGCCCACCAGCGCCGGAAACCTGGGCAGCGGGAAGGGTCGGACGAGCGGAGACTCAGTCCCTCGGTGGTCCCCAAGGCTGCCCGCTGGACTCTGGACTTTCAAAAATTCCAACGCCGGGTCTCCACCTCGGGCCAAATGACGAGAAAGTCGGGCCCCAGTGATTGCAGAGACTGTGTTCTCTCCATTCGTAGGGACCCAATCACTTTGGTTTTATTTATGTATGTATTTTTACTGTTTACTCATTTTTGAGTCAGAGTGTGCAGCAGGGGACGGGGGGGGACAGAGGGGGGAACAGGGGGGGACAGAGGGGGCACAGAGGATCTCCAGTAGGACAGCAGAGAGCCCGAGGTGGGGCTCAAACTCACATACCGTGAGATCACGACGTGAGCTGAAGTCAGATGCTTCACCAACTGAGCCCCCCAGGCGCCCCTCACTTTGGTTTTAAGTGTGGCCACGTTAGGATGGGAACTTGGCCAACTGGGGATGTTCCTCCCCTTGCCCTCAGTTCTCAGGGGTAACGGTTGGCTCAGCTGCCGAGGAGACACCCCCAGCCCTGGACGCCCCTGCTGGCCGCGGGGTCTGGTGCTGGGGGCGGGGTGTCCCATCCTGCCGGCCCTCGCTCACACCCTCCTTAAGGGGGCTGCCAGCCGGGTGACCCCCAGAGGACTCTCAACACGTCCACGGCCTCCACGCCGGGGGGTCTGACAGGCCGTCGCCCTCAGCCAGAGTCGCTCTGTTGCTGGAGCCGCGTCGGATAACGTTCTTCGCGCCACCCCGATCTGATTCCCTAAGGGAGTTCGGGGGCCCCACGGCAGAAGGGGCCCTTTGTAGTCAAAGTCCCCCCCGCTTGGCCCAGAGCCTCCCCCACTCCCAGCGCCCCCACGAGAGCGTCCTTTTGTTAAATTGGTGAACCCGCGTGGGTACGCAGCCCCCAGTTCACGTCAAGGTCCCTCCCGGCGTGTGCCTTCCGCGGGCTCGGACACGCGTGTGATGGCAGGCAGACCCGCCGTTATGGTCTCGCCCGGCGCGGCCCACTGCCCTCAACACCCCTGGGCTCCGACCTGTTCTGCCCTCCCCGGCCCCCAGCCCCCCGCCACCGCTGACCTTACCGTCCCGCCGTCCTGCCTGTTCCGGAATGTCCCGTGGATGGTCGGCCACACGGCGTGCAGCCTTTTCAGACTGGCCGCTTGCCCTCCGTCGTGCGCGTCCACACTTCCTCCGGGTCTCTTGCCCGCTTGATGGCCTCCAGACTTTGCTCTGAGCCCTACGAGCCCAGCCCTCCCGGAATTAAAAACAAAACCCACCCGATGTCGAGGGCTGCCGAGTGGGGCCGGCACGGGGGAGGGGAGAAGGGGTGAGGGGTGCCGGGGAGGCTGCTACAGGCTCAGGACAGCCGGACAGCGGCGTCTGCTCCCAGAGCTGCCTTCAGTGACCTCGGGTGGGCCCCCGGGATTGGCCAGGCTGGGAGGGTCCCCTCCGCGGGAATCAGCCTCAAGGTGGCAAACCTCACGTGAGTCGAATCAGGATGGCGGTCGTCGGGGGCACGTTGTTTCTCCTGCCGGCGGCCTCGTGTTCGCCAGGGGGCTCGGCTGGCTACGCGGAGGCCTCGGGGCTCCCGGCCCGCGGTAAGCAGCCGAGCCCCGAGCGTGCAGCCACGCTTTCCAAGCCTCTGCCTGCGTCCTGCACGCTCATGTGCACCGGCCAGAGCCGCTCAGGGGGGAGGAGACGCCGTCTCTGCAGGGAAGACGGTACCCGACCTCCTATCACGTCTGCCGACACAAAGGGTGCTTCGGCACGAACCTGGACGTCTCCCGGGGCGCCTGCGTGAGGCTGGCTGGGGACTGTGTGTGCACGTCTGCTGTGGCATTTGCCCCTTTATTTAAAACGGTCCACCCTGTGTGTGTGTGTGTGTGTGTGTGGTTACATTGTATACACGTGCATATGTATGCTGTTCGTATCACATGTAATAAACACACACACACACACACACACACACACACATGCACAGAGTTACCCCAGCTCGGGACACATGCAGGTGTCTTCTCCAAGTCTGTGTCTTGTCTTACCACCATGTCCGTGATGTCTTTTCATGCAGGATGACTTATCACTTCTTAAAAATGGTTATTTAGGGTCACCTGCGTGGCTCAGTCGGTTGTTAAGCATCCGACCCGGGCTCAGGTCACGCTCTCGCGGTCCGTGGGTTCGAGCCCCGCGTCGGGCTCTGTGCCGACAGCTCAGAGCCTGGAGCCCGCTTCGGATTCTGTGTCTCCCTCTCTCTCTGTCTCTCTCTCTCTCTCTTAAAAAATAAATAAAACCATTCAATTTTTTTTAAGTTTACTTATTTTTGAAAGAGAGAGTAGAAATCGGGGAGGAGCAGAGAGCCCACTGTGGGGCTCAAACTCACGAACAATGAGACCACAACCTGAGCCGAAGTCACGAGCTGGACGCTTAACCGACTGAGCCCCCCGGGTGGCCCCCACTCCTTTATTTTCCTTGGTTTGATGGTTTTCTGTGACCTTTAGGACCAGGTGGACTAGAAGTGGGGGGGCACCACCCGGCCCCCCTTGGGCCCACACGGAACCCGTTCAGGCTCCACGGAGGGGAGAAAGCCTTCGTGAGCTGGGGCGGGTCTCACTTGCTGAGGGTGTTTATCTCCGGGGGGGCTGGGAGGACGCAGAATGCCTTCCTGCATCCGTCGAGTGGCTCCGGGGTCCCTCCCTTGCCCTTCTCTGAAAACCCCGCCCAGCCCTCCCCTGGCCTCACCACTTCCCCAAATTGATGGGTCTCCAGAGAGGTTCCCCCGCCCTGCAGACAGGCGCACCAGAGCCGTCACAGACACGGAGCCCACCCTGCGTGTTCTGGGAAGGACGCCCCTGTTTCCCGGAGACACCCCGGCCCCGTGTTCCCTCTTCCCCGGGACGCCATGCAAACCCGGCCCAAAGCCACAGAGGTTGTGAAATGCTTTCGGTTCTGGCTGGAGGTGCACAGGCGAGGGTGGACGAGGGCCGTGCTCGCAGCTGGAAACGGCTGCCCCGGGGCGACAGCAAGGCCCCGCACCGTCCCTTGTGTCCAGGGGCGCAGGCCCACCCGGAAGATCGCCCTCTGCTCAGGGGGACCCAGACTGTCTGGGTCCCGCAGCCGTGCGGAGGGCGGCTGAGAGCCCGGGGTCCCGACGCCCGGCCCTCCCTGTCTCTCCTTCCTTAACTGCAAGTGCGGGAGCCAGGCCCAGGCCTCACACGTGGACGAGTGGAGCCCGGAGAGCACGGACAGGTGGGCGCACAGGTGCACAGGCGGGGACGGAGCTGGGGAGGACAGCCAGCGGCGAGGCTGAACGCGGCCCCTGCAAGGTGGGGTCAGGCTGCAGGGCCGCCTGGCCTTTGGCCTTGGTGTGTGTTATCCGAGCCTCGTAGCAAATGATCATGAACTTCTCGGCTGAAAACGACACGCATTTGCTGCTTCACACTTTCTGGGGGTCAGGAGCTGGGCCCAGCTCTCTGCTCAGGGTCTCAGCCAGCTGCAGTCAAGGTGTCCGCGGGGGCCGTGATTTGAGCTGAGGATCGGGGACCCCTCCCAAACCACATGGTTGTTGGCAGAACTCAGTTCCTTGTGGTTGCAGGACTGAGGTCCCCGTGCTCGAGGGCAGCCGCAGGGGACCCCAGAGCTCCTTGCATGTGGCCCCTCTACGGGAAGTTCACACCGTGGCTGTTTGCTTTCTCAGGGCCACAAGGAGAGCAGCTTAGATCTACTCCTTGCAGGGAAGGCTGGACCCTCTGTTAGAGGGATCGCCTGGTTAGGTCAGGCCCACCGGGATACTCTCCTGTTTGAGTAACCCCGTCCACTGATGAGACATAATTACATCTGCAACCCACTTCACGTTTTCCATGGAACATAACCTACTTCTAGGAGTGAAACCCCCTGGCTGCAGCTCACTCAGGGAAGGGGGTTGCTTTCTGTCTGGGGGAAAGCACACCCTGTCCTCTTTCACCTTGTCACGTCGGCCGTGGTGACCCCAATAAGCCCCCGTTTGTTAGGGCACCAGTGTTTCGAAAGCAGCCGTCAACCCTCCTAACACCTTGGCACGGAACTTCTCTTGTCCTTCGCGTACAGGAAGCTGAGGCTCGCGGAGGGCAAGGCCCATCAGCACACGTGCCTTTGCCGGGCGTTCCGGGTCACACAGGCGCGGAGAGAAGCAAAGCCTGGGCTCGCACAGACCCCCCGCCCCGTGGCCGACAGACAGGTTCCCCGACCCGTGCAGCCGGTGGCCAACAGACCCCCTCCCAGGCCAGGTGCACGCGGCCCGGGAAGCTCGGGCTGACCCCCCCCAAACGCAGCTGCGACCACGGGCCACGCAGACCTTCTTGTCCCCAGCACAGTGTCAGGGCCGCCGGGACACCTCTCCTTGGCGAGGGAGGGCCCTCTGCAGCCGGGGGTCCAGGTCTCCCTGAGGGGGGCCCCTCCCGTCGCCAGAGACCCGGCCTGGGAGAGCGCCCAGCCTCACACCAGGCACGCCCACCGCCCGCAGCTCCCGCCCGCTCCCTGTTCGCAGGTGATGGGGCTGCCGTCGCTCCACGGTGACGAAGAGGATGACGGATGCTGTGTGTCCTTGGGACGGTCGCTATCCCTCTCTCAGCTTCAGTTTCCCGATCCAAAGCCAGAGCCCGCCTACGCTTGGGTCAACATTTGTCCCTCGTAAGAACCCGGTGCCCAGAAAGAGGTGGTCTCCACGGAGGCAGAGACGGCCAAGCCGGGGTGGGGACGTCCGGGACCCTGAAGTTAGGAAGTGGGGCTGTGTGACCCTGGGGGGGTTGCCTTCCCTCTCTGTTTGGGGAGGTGGATGGGAGTCTCCAGGGACCCCTGGCAAGGAGTGGTTTTATCCCTGGCCCGGGGGCTCCTCCTGGAGGAGGGGCCATTTGTCCCCCCTCATCATCCCCACGTGGCTCAGCCCTGAGCACGGCCTGCAGCAGCTGGTGATCCCGCACGCGGGTCCCCAAACGGGCCCGGTGGAGACGCCTCCTTCTACGGCTGGGGCAGCGGGGCTCCTGGGCTGCGTGCCCAGTCGGCGCACGGGTGCCAGGCACGTGCCCGTCTCACACGCGCTCTGCTCCAAGAGGGGCTCCGGGGTTACCGCCTGGGGCCCTGGTCTCTGAAGGGCCCCCCCGCTGCCCGCCCCCTCCTTGCTCTGGCCGAAAACGAGGCACTGGCCGCCCAGCTCTGTGCCTGGCACGTGCTCTCTCTTCTTCCTCAGGACCTTGCGGTAGGTTTGGTTTTGGTGACAGATGAAGAAGAGACTGAGGGTCTGAGATGCGAAGAGACTCGACCAGTGACTCAGCCTTTGGTTCAGAGTTCCGGAGCCTGTGGTTGTTGGAGCGCATCCCGTGGTGCATCATCAGAAGGAAGCAGGCAACTCTTAGCCCGGGGTCCGGCACCGAGCCCTCGGCTCCGTGAGTCCTCCCTCGACCCCCGTACGGGGGCCATCGGTCTCGTTTTACTTTCGACCAAAACTGGGGCTCCAATGAACTCACCCCAAATCCCCAGCCTCTGAGTGGGGGGCTGGGGGTGGAACCCAGGAGTTGAACGACAGAACGTGCCCTCGGGGCCACCAGGCCTGCTGCCCCAGGGCAACGGGGAGGTCCCAGCGGGCAGGGGTGGGGCGCTGGGAACCCCGGGCGGGAGGGGTGAGGGCCACAGCTGGAGGTCAGGGAAGGCGCGGGTTCTGAGGCAGGTGGTGGCCCCCGAGTGACCTGCCCAACAGTCCGACCCGACACGGGGAGGCTGCAGGCCCAGCGCGGGTCGTCAGGTCGTCCTGTTTTCAATTACAGCGCGGTCTCCTCCCATGTTCCCCTCCCAGCGACCGCGAGAAGCCAGTTTGGGGTCAAAGTTAGAAGCTTCCCCGGCTTCTGCGCCCGCTTCTGGAAGGCTCTCTGCTGCCCCCTGGTGGGAGAGGCCGGGGCGGGGCCTGCAGGCCGCCTCTGAGCCGGGCAGGAGGGGGGGGGGGGGAATCCCCCAGACCCCAGCGGCAGAGGCAGGAAGGATAGTGGAGAGCCCCTGCCGGCCTCAGTTTCCCCTTCTGCTAAAGGAGGGTCGTGGAGGAGGGGGAACAAGAAGTGACGTGGGCGGTGTCTGTGGGGAGACAAAAATGTATCCGGACCAGGCACAGGCGGGCGGCTGGACCACATCTACCTGCACAAACGCCTCTGAGTCGGTCACTTTCAATGGTTCATTTTATCTTACGTGAATGTCACCTTGTTTGACAAAATAAATTAAAGAAAAAGAGATCGGAACAGTGCCGTGCGGGTGAGAACCACTTGGGACGCCCACGGCCTCTCTGAGCCTCAGTTTCCCTGGCTGTAAGTGGAGGGTTCCTGGCACGTGGGGGCCCAGACGAGCCCCTAGACGCACTCACAGCAGCACATTCCGCACAGGGCTGGAGGCCACCCCCCTCCCGGCCTGGCTGGCTGGCGGGTGCAGGTGGGACCGGCCGGGCTGGGCCAGAGGACTCTCAGGTGACGGAGCGTGTGGGCCGCGTTCCCCTCGCTCGCCTTCGGGACGCAGGAAGGGGCAGAGGCGCAATGACGTGCTAACACCTTCTTCCAGGACGCGCCCCTGGGTCCTGATGCTGACACATCCCCCCGAGGCAGGCGGGCTGGTGGTACAGTGGTTACGGCTCTGCCCCACCTACCTGCTGTGTGACGGCGGGCAGGGCACCTACCCTCTCTGTGCCTCGGCCGGAAATGCAGACAATGACAGACCCGACGGTGCGGGCCCGGTGAGGTCGGCGTGAGGGTTAAAGGCAGAGCACAGAGCCTGACACACGGTGAGGGCACGGGGAAGGGGGAAGATGCCCAGGGGACCCCACCACCGCCTTCCGCTCTGACAGGCCAGGAAATGGGTGCGAGGGGCGTGATTTGCCTGAGGCCACACCGCGCGGGGCTGGCAGGGGGACCTGGCCCGGGTCGGTCCGACTCAGTCCTTCCAGCTCACAGCAGCAGGGCGGGCCCCCGGGGACGGGGCTTGGTCCCTGGACGCTCCCCAGGCGGTAGGCCAGGGGAGGGGGCCTTGCGGGCTTTGGCAGGCTGCCGCAAAATCGTTTATTGCTATCAGACCCCTACGGTCCTGCCTCTGTTTCCCAGAAAATGAGCCTCCCAGAGACACTAGGAGAGGCGAGGACAGGGGAGCTCAGGGCGAGGGGCCGGGGGCCAGCCAGGGTGCCCGCCCCCAGCACCGCCCCGGGGCCAGGTTGACTCTGCGGATGTTGAGCTCGGTGGCGAAGGTCCTGGCCTTCTGGTAGAAGAAGAGGGACTTCTCGCGGTCCAGGAGGAAGTTGTGGTAGATGGTGGCCAGGCGCGTGTAGATCTTCATCTGGGCCTTCTTGTTGCCGAGGTCCACGGCCGCTGCCAAGGCCAGCTGGTAGTACCCCGCCGCGTCGAAGGGGTCCTGAAGGAGGCCCGACATTAACACGCCCCCTGGCTGCAGGCAGGGGCTGGCCGGCCTGTGTCCCCAGAGGCTGCTCCGTGCCCGGCCCCCCCATCACCTCCACCCAGTCCCTCCCGACGGACCACTCTAACTGGGACAAGCCCCAGTTCAGCAGCCCTGGCTCCTCCCTGCCCCCACACAGAGAGAGCATAAAAGCAGGTACGCAGAGCGGTTCAACAAACACTCCCGAGCCCCTACCGGGCACTGGACCCCGTGCAGGGCGGGAGCCACGGCTGACTCTGGGGCCACGTCGACCACAGGGGTGACCGGCGGCCGGTGGCAGCCCCAGGTGGCACCTGAGTCAGCCTGAGGTGGACTTGGAGGGCTGCCTGGAGGAGGGGACAGCCTCACTAAAGAGCTGACCAAAGTGGGTGGTTGGGAGTTGTGTATCCGTATGCATGTGTGTGCATGTGTGTGCGTGTGGACGTGCACACCTGTGCCTGGAACAGCCAGCGGGCGGCAAACAGGATTCACGCCCAAATCTGTCCCGTTCCAGCCTTGTTCTTTCGTCCCTGAGGCCCCGTGTACAGATGACCTCGATTCAGGGAGACCATTGGCAAAGATGCCCATGGCCCCCCAACCTCTAGAGCGGCGCTTGCCCAGGCCTGTCCCGTAAAGGGGGCTCGGAGGAATCTCTTGCCCTCCTGGCCACGTGGCTGACGGTGTGAAGTCGGCCCGTGGCCCCTGATGGAATTTCCAAGCCGTCGTCACGGTGAGGACAGACGTGCTGTCGACAGAGTGGCCATGGTGCGGCTGGCGAGCTGCCTGGTCCCAGCCTCTTGGGCTCAGGGACCTGGGCTTCTCAGCTGCAGCCCTGCCCCGTGGAGAGATAAGGTCCCCGTCCCCAGGGCCTGGGCGTCAGATCAGCTACCTCTGGGCCTGCAGCTGCCCCCGGCCCGGCCCCGACCCCCATCTTGGACACCTTTTTTGCCTCCCAGCCCGTTTCCCCCTCTTGTACAGAGCTGCTTAGGAATCAGTCACACGGGACCCGGGTCAGGCCCCCCCCTCGGATGGGCCAGGGGTCAGGGGCATGTATTGCAGATGACAGAGGGCTCTGGGTGTAAGAGCTCAGGTGAGGCTGGCCACAGTCCTGCCCCACCGCCAGGCTCCGTGGCCCCGACACAGGGGAGGGCCCGGCCCAGAGCCCAGCCTGGGATATAGACACGTATGCGGGTCGCAGGGTCAGAGGCTCGTGGGTTCTAGGATCCCGGGCACTGGAGCCCCATGGAGCTCTGCTAATCCTACTCTGGTCAACTGACCGTGCCTGGCCCTCAGCCTATGCCCTGCCTCCAGGGGGCTCCACTCTTCTAGAACAGTAAAGCTTTCGCAGGCAGAACCAACCACACAGAGCCTGGGTCACACAGACTGGAAGGTAGTGAGGCTACGTTGCAGTACCCCCCCACCCCCGCTGCCCCGGCCGACAGGCTCCCCAAGAACCACCCAGCGGACACAGGAGGCTGTAGTGACCACTTGTGACCACCAGGTGTCACCGGTGCACAGCCAAGGCTGCCCCGGGGAAGGGGGTTGGGGGCTACCAACTGGGTGGGGGTCTTCTGGCGCCACCCCAGCCCCGAGGGGCCATTCAGTGGGGAGGGGGAGGGAGAAGTCGGCCCCTGGGCTGGGGCACCCGCCCTTCAGCCGGCACGGAGCAGGGACACCGCGCAGGGATGACGCTAGGCCCCGGGTGGGGTGATGGGGGCCTCTGCCTGTGCAGGCGAGTGATGGAGAGACATCTCTGGGTTCTGGTCTGTGAGGTCCCAGCTCCAGCGCCTCCAGCCCCCACAGGGCAGGAACTGCCCGGAGTGGTGTCCCTGCTACAAACCCCCGGGGGACATGAGGATTAAAGGGGACTCGGGATTCTAGGAAGGAGTCGCTCTGCCCACAGTGGTCAGCTTCCAGGAGGAGGTGCCGGGATCTGGGTAGCACCCTACAACCTGGGTCTCTGGTGGGTCTCTAGTGACTCGTCCCTGCCCCCGGAACGTCCTGTCCCCGTCCTACCGCCTCGGCGGCTCACTCCTGCTTGACCGTCACGACTCGGCTTTGCCGTTACCGTGCCCGGGAGGCTCCCCCGACTACACGGCCGTGTCTGCTCTGACCCAGTGGCTCCCAGGGTCCGTTCACACGTCAGCCGCCCCCACGGGCTGGGGGAGCTCCGACGGCGTCTGCTGACCTTGCCTGTGCCGCAGAGCCAGGCCCGGAGACGCCGGGGCCCCGGGGCCCGTGTGTGGTCCCCCTCCACGTGGGAGCAAGGGCTCCCGACGCGCCCGGGCCCCGCCGCACACCCCCCCCCCCCCGCGCCCACCTTCAGGTCGTAGAAGATGATGTCACCGAGCACCAGGTACACTTTCACGTAGTACAGCGTCTCCTCGGCGAACTGCAGGGGCGAGCTGCAGAGTGACAGGGCCTTGAGGTAGAAATGCTCTGCCAGCTCGCCGTGGCCCAGGCGGTGGTGCAGGGCGGCTAGCCGGTGGTAGGCCACTCTCTCGTTCAGCCGGTCCCCTAAGGTCGCAGGGGAGGGGGCACGCGTGAGGCTACGGCTGCGGGTGGCGGCGGGCACAGGCCAGCTCCGGCCCCCAAGCCAGCCGCTTCCTGTCCCGAGACTCACTCTTCCCATCTGCACAATGGGCCTGATGTTGCAGGCTCGCTGTCCACCTCAGGAAGGTGGACCTGCCCATGGGGCCTGCTCTGTACCTGCCTGTGGCGCCTGGAAGGGGTGACGGGGAGCCCCAAAGTCAGGCAGTCGCAAACCCCGGGGCTCGGTCCACCCGCACACACGACGCTCACCCTTCCTGGTGTATGAGCTGCTGCTCCCCGCCCCCCACCCCACGCCCTCCGGATGTCTCCAGATCGTCCCCCTTCCAGGCGAGCACTGTGGGGTCTGCACACCCAGTCCTGTCTCCGAGGGGAAGACAGGTGGCTGGGAGCAGCACAGTTAGGTGCTGGGACACGAGGTGCCCGGCAGTGAGGGGATCTCGCCAGCCAGGTGACAGCGGGGCTGGCTGAGTGTGGCGAGGAACAAGGGTAAGGGACGGCACGCAGACAGGCGCGTGCCGGGGCTGGTGACAAGCCGGGGTGTCCAGACCGCGGGGCATGGTGGCCGGCCTTGGTGGTCAGCTGGCCAAGAAAGCCCAGCCACCCCGTGAGTGCGAGGTGTCCCCCGGGGCATCCCAGCCCGCCTGCACGGAGGAGGCGGCTTGCAGACGGAAGCAGCCCCGCACGCGGGCCGGGTTCCACGCCTCGGCCCTTCTGCGCCCGCCCTCCAGGTCTCCCCCGCCGGGGCCGGGGCGCAGGGCTTACCCAGGGTGATGCTGAGCGCCAGGGCCATGTGGGCGAACTCCAGGCCCTCCCGGGGCGCGTCCAGCTCGGCCAGCAGTGCCACCAGCTTGTTGCACAGACGCAGCTCGGCCTCCTGGTTCCCTGTGGTGGAGGCCAAGGGCAGCGCCCGATCCTGCCACACGGGCGGGTGGGTCAGGCCTCACCCGCGGCGGCCGGCCCGGGACCAGCACCCCCTCAGAGCCCCGACCGCACGCTGGGAGCGTCCTCCCCATCATCCCGCTGTATCTCTGTTCGGCTCAGAGAGGTCCTGGCAGCCCCAGGGCACTGAGCCACCAGCAAGCTGGGATGTGGCCTGCAGCCCATCTGTCTCAGCAGCCTGGGACCAGCCCGTCCCCGGACGGTGAGAGCCTGACCAGGAGGGCCCGACCCCGCGGTCTAAACACACACGTTTCTCTGTTCCCCAGGGCTGAGCCGCAGGCCATGAGCTGGGCGCGCAGGCACACGCAGACCTGGGCCCCGGGGCTGTGTGTCCCGTGATACACCCCTGTGCCTCTCTGAGCCTCAGTTTCCTCATCTGCGAAGTGGAACAGGACTGGCCTCCCTGAGGTTTGAGGTGCTGTAAGCCTAAAGCTGCCTCCGTCCCTCAAACGGCCTCTCCTTTCTCTGTCCCTCCCAGGTGAGGGTGGGGGACAAGATCATCCCAGGCGAAACCACCAAGCAAGTAAGCGGGTGCGTGGGGCAGTCCTCCCTCCTGGCAGGAGGCCTCCGCCGGCCCCCCCAAACTCCCATGGAAGGCGCCCCCACCCCTGAGGCCCACCCTCACCGCCCGGCTCACCCGGTAGAAGGACACGGCTTTCTCCCGCTCCCAGGTCCCGTTGAAGAAGATGTCCCCAGCCGCCTCAAACAGCTCCAGCCCCAGGCTGGGGTCCCCCGTGTACAGGGCTGCGTTCTGGGCCACCTGCGGGCGTGCAGGAGCTCTCGTGAGACCCACAGGGCTCCCCCAGACCCTCGAGGCAACCCCGAGGACCCACAACACGTGCTCCGGGTGACTCTTTCCTCTCCCTCCAGAGGGACTGGCCTTGTTGAGTCCCTGTGCAGCTGGGGACATCACTTCCCACTACGTCCCATGGGGAGGCCCGTCCAGCTAGGGCGCCGGGGGTCCACAAGTGCGGGCTGCTGAGGAGTTTGGGAGCCAGCTCCGAGGTGGCCTCCGGGTCCCGGCGGTCACACCCGGACCCCGGCATTCTCTCCGCTGGGGTCCCCTCCACTGTGTCCCTCCGTGGCCCTTAGCAACACCTGCCTGTCTCTCCGAGCAGACGACTAAGACTGCTGCTTCTCTGCTGCATCTGGGGCCCAGCACGGTGCCTGGCCCATAATAGGTGCTCAACCAACACCAGCTGAGTGGACAAGAGTGGCCTAGCCCTGCCGGCAATCCAGAACCTTCTACAGTCCCATGAACCTTTGGCCTCTGCCCCTGTGAATCCCCTACTGCCAGGAAGCCCTCTTCCCAGTTGGGCACTGGCCCCACGCACCCTGCACCCCAAACCGACCGGAGCTCGCCCTCCCGGCCCCTCTGTGCACAACCGCACCCCTGCCCGCAGCTCTGCCCGCAGCCCCGAGGCGCCTGCCCCGTCAGCGGTGAGCCCCGGGACCCTCGGCCCATGGCCCAGGGAAGTACACAGCAAGCGCTCAAAAGTGAAAACACTCATTGGCCTCACGAGCCTCTCAATCTATTCCAAGTCATGTCAAGCTTGGAACACAACTGGAAACGGAGCTTCTGTGATAAGTGGGTTTTTTAAGGAGGCACGCCATTTGCCACTGAAGAAAATTCTTCTGTGTGCCAACGCGGTGGATGCGTCATTTGCACATTTATTGAGCGCTTGCTGTGTACCAACACGGTGGTGGCTGTGGTGAGGGGCACACGCCTCTGGCCCCTTGGGAGGGCTCGGATTGTTGTGGAAGATGCCGGGCAGTGGGGGTCCAGGGCTGGGAATACAGAGATGGGGGTCTAGGGCTGGGGCGTCCAGGGGTGGCGGTCCAGGGCTGGGAATCCAGGGCTGGGGGTTCAGTGGTGGGGGCCCAGGGCTGGGGGTCCACGGGTGGCAGTCCAGGGCTGGGAATACAGGGA